AAGTCAGATTACGGTATTGTCATTTTCTAACCAATGTTGATGATGACAATGTTATAATGAGTTCAAGTTTGAGTTTTAAATCTCTGATAAATTTCACACCAATATGGTCAATTTTTCAGAGAGTAGATAAGGACCAAGAAATATTCCTAAACTAATAGAATATATTTTATTAACATGTTTCCGCTGCGATGAAGTTTTGATTATCTTCTAATTAAATTTGAACCAATGGGAGAATTTAATTTTGAAGAGTAGTTGTATGTATTTCAAGTTGATTTATGAGTTTTATACATTAATTCTATTTTCTGTCCAACGGTGATGTAGAATTGATGCAGAAGCACCTTGTTTATTTAACCGACGAGATCACTCAGCTGCATGCCAATGGGTTGCAATGCTGGGGTATGTGAATGAAAAGGCTTGAGTCAAGCCAGTTCAGGACAGTTTTTGCTAGTTTACTAATTTTCTGATTAAATTGGAATCAACGGGAAGATTTAATTGGAAAATAAAGTATAACTGAATGTTTTAGTCGTCATGACTAAGTTTAGTATAGATCTATCCCACATGGGGAGAAGTTTTAGCATAGTACTTATGCTAATAAATCCTGCTTGGCGGGAGAAGTTTTGTGATGATTCACATATTTTGTATCCTGTATAGCGAGAGAAGTTTGGGTAGCTCTTATGTTGTTCTAGTATTGACCTTGGTACAATAGAAATGCATTGTCATGGTCAATGCTAACCAAAAGATAAGAAAAGATGCAAGTGTGACTTGCAAAAAGCACTGCTAATGATAGACCTCATTGAGTTTTTAAAGTAAATGAAGAAAAGTGTACTCCTAAATGGATCAAGAAATAACTTTGTTTACATGACACAATCATGTGAATGAAGTAAGTTATATATGTCTCCACATTCACAGTTTTTCTTAATGGTTCTCAAAATTATGGCAGTAAAGTTCATGCCATATTTCGAGGGGGGAATATTAAGATTAATTAAGAAAAATACTCTTTATTAAGAGTGAGATAAAAATTAATTAAGATGTATGCGACCATCAGATGAGTACAACGGTCACAACAACGATACCCCTAAGCAGAGAAATAGCTGAATTCCTAGACCTTTTAAAATTCCGACAGAAAAATAGCGTAGTCAGCCTCAAAGATGTTAAGGTGATGCTTAAAGCGCCATATGAGGTTTTAATAGATTAAACCCAAAATAAGAAATTTGAAGATAAACTATCTTTAGAAAAGATAAGAAGATCTGGGGGAACATGTATGTAGAGACCTAAGACTTGAAGAGAAGCGAGACTACGTGCCCACTTCAGTGATTCAAAACAACGAATTTCTTAATACTTGTTGATGTTGTATGACTTATACAACACCTGTTGTTGGCTCTTCAAAGAAGATGAATAATGTAAACAAGGATCTTGTGATACATGAGCCTGTAGAATCAATTGCCTCTTGGCAATGAAGGGCAACAACAGCCCCATATGAAAGTGCCAGTAGTTAAGGCCTTCAGAAGGTCTCAAAGAATTAGTAAACCAGTTTTTTTGAAGACAATGAAGTCTATGTTAGTAAAGAAATTCAAATAAAGGGTGATCCCACCTTACTTGAAGAAGCCATGAGAAGCGTTTACTCGTTTAAATGGCAAGAAGCTATGAAAGTTGAAATGAATTTGATGAATACCAATGATGTTTGGGACTTAGAAGTAATTTCTAATAGAGCCAAAATAGTAGGTTGTTAATGGGTCTACAAGATAAATTGTGACTCTAAATGGAATGTAGAAAGATATAAAGCACGACTTGTAGCAATATGCTTTACGCAAAGAGAATGAAAAGATTACAATGAAAGTTTTCTCTCTAGTATTATGCAATGATTCTTTTAGAATCATAATAGTGTTAATGGCACATTACGATTTAGAGGTACATTAGATGGATGTAAAGACGACATTCCTCAATGGGGATTTGTATGAAAATGATTACATGGCACAACCCAAAAGGTTTTGTCGTGGAAGGAAAGAACATATGGGATGCCGCCTGTAGAAATCCATTTATGGGTCAAAAGTAAGTCTCTAGACAGTAGTATTTGAAGTTGATGAAACAATGATAAGAAAGTTTGGGTTTTAAAGAAAATAAGAAGGACAATAGCGTTAATACGAAGTTCAAGAATGGAAAATTCATTTTCCACATCCTGTGAATAAATGACATTCTACTCACTAGTAGTGATATTAATCTGTCATTGGAGAAAAAGAAGTTTTGTCCTCAAGTTTCAATGTAAATGATCTTAGTGAAGCGTCACTGGTTATAGGAATCGAAATTCACCAAGATAGAAGAAAATAGGGTATTAGGACTATCACAAAGGCATACTTAAAAAAGATTCTAAAGAAATAAAGTATGCATACGAGTAAACCTACACCTACTCCTATAGTCAAGGGTAATAGATTGGGGAACTTTAAGTGTTCCAGGAACTGATATGAGATCGATCAAATGAACATGGTTCCATATGCTTCAGTTGTTGGAAGCTTGATGAGTGTACAAGTACGAGTAAGTACTTACCCTGACGTAGTTTACGTATCCAGGATATTTTTGGCAGAAGTCCAGTCTAGATATAGATAACTAGAATGGAGTTGAGAATGTCTTGTAATTTAGCAAAGTATCATAGGCCTCATGCTGAGTAAGAAAGAATAAGTACTCTCAAATAGTTTAGGGTACAAAAGTTAAGTCTTGGCGAGATGTGTAGTGAAATCCACAGCAGTGGCTAACACTCGCAGTTGGAGTATTATTGTGGAAAAGCTCCAAAGAAACAGTTGTAGCATCATCAGTGATGCATACCATAGTATGGCTTGTCATGAGGCTTAAGGAACAGGTAAAAGGAGGTTAAGAAAATTTGTACCCGGATTTAACAATGGTAGACAACAACAATAATCATTTAAAGTAAGTTAACTCCTAAGACAATAAGTCAAGTGTGCTGCCAAACACATTGACACTAAGGTATATGTTGTAACGGAGAAAATTCAGAATCATTTTGAAAGCATTGAGCACATAAGTACCAAGTAAGTACTTGCGGATCCGCTTACCAAAGGCTTACCACCCAGTGCGTTCAGAGAACACACAATCAACATGGGTTTATGGGAAAGCCTATGATTTCTGGATACTAAGGGCCTAGTTGAGTATCTGTTTCAAAACAGAGAGGTGCATTATAGTTGTTTAATCTAGTGGCAACTGACCGTGACGATGAGGCACTCTCTATACACTGATCTGTGATGGAATGGAAACAAGATAAAGTAAGTTGAGTTTAAGTCATAAGGTGATATCAAGGGGGTAAATGTTAGGATGATCTCCACCAATTTGGCCCAACGACCAATTGGGCCCCTGACTCATGTCCTGATCGGGGGCGCCCAGCCGCTCTCCTGGCTGGTGGGCCCCTATCGCCTAGCGCTATGTAAAGGAGGTGGGAATTGGGGCTCGTAACACGTGGCTCACCACAGCCGCCACTCCCCACCTAACCCTAACCAATCAAGGGAGCGCTGTGAGCGACGAGAAACACCATCGCCTTTGACTGCTGTCACTGCACTGCACCTGCACTGCTACGACACCGACGGTCACGTCACTGTTGTGCTATGGCCGCAACTGCCTTAGGGCGAGGTACATCACCAAGCTTCCCCATCTAAGTCAAGTTTTATCCCCTAATCTACGATTCTAGAGGTACAATGATCCATTAATGCCCTCCTCACGGACCAAGGTCACCTAGGGCAGAGTGACGGAGATGGCACGGTGCGTGGCATGGAGGTAGGGGGGCTCCTCGTCGTCAGAGCAGTTACTGATGGAGATCTCATCCCAACGCATGCTCTTGGTCCTGCCGGTAGAGAAGGGGATGAAAGGGGGCGCGTCGAGGGAGAGGACCTTACCAGAGCCACCAGCGTGGTTTGGGTTGGTGGCTACCATCGCCAGAGTGGCTTGCGGTAGGCTGGGGTTGGGGGAGCAGGTGGGAGAGGGGGGAGCCATCGCTACATCCCCAAACGTCTCTCATACATTGAGACACATAAAAAATGGGACGATGTCCTAAACGTCTCTCATACATTGAGACGCAATAAAAAAATCAAGAGTTACATTATGCTCTGTATATCTAAACAATGGGACGATGTCCTAAACAGCTAGACACATAGCGGCTTTCATTTTCTATTATCTAATCCATGCTTTAAGATGGGAAAGGTCTATATGCCCTGGGCAGAAGTCATGACACAAAGAATATAAAGAATGGTCATAATGAAACCCCCAAAATATAAACTCAGTAGTTAACTAGCTGTTGTACTCTTGTAGAAAAGTTCCGTTTCAATGAGGGAAGGTCGCATTAAAATGGTGGCTCTTAGTATGTGGTGTGCGCTCACACTATAGGTGGCCCTTGGTATGCCCGACCTCATCGACCTCCGCCTCAGCTAGGTGGCCCATGGTATGCCCAACCTCATAATCCTAGCACACTGCACACCCTACCTTAATTATTTGATCCCCTAATCCCCTACCCTTCATTTTAGGGGATGAAATGCAAAAGGACACCTTTTTCTTACAAAAATGCAAAATAACACCCGCTTCAAAATATGCACAACCTCACAAGGACACCAATTTGTGTGGAACTCAGATGGTCAGACCTAACATGAGAATTGACAATCAAAATATACAAATACGCCTAGTTGCATTGTTTAATACGATTACTATTCAACCAAAAGATTAAACTTGATTCTGATTTGGTGAAATGCCTAAATTGGACTGGACTTTGGCAAAAATCCAGTAGTTTGTCCTACCATACAAGAGCATGAATGTTAAAGTGGCGCACTAGGGTCGACTAGGATCTAGCTTTGCCCCTGGCCCCGACTAAAATACCTCACCTGCCTGTACTTCTTCTCGATGTTTCTGTTGGCACTCTCGATGACGAACTCCGTGGAGAAGATGTTAGTCAGCTTGACATCGGAAATCTCTTCGACACTCTAGTCGTAATTGCCAAGGTGGCTAAAGATCATCTATGATGCGTACAAGCCTTCCTTCTGGTCGAGCTCCATTGGGATGCCTTCGCCGTTGTAGTAAATGGAGATGTTGCACCGAACCACGTCGACCTCCACGCGGAGGGAGTCCATGCTTGGGTCGCGCTGCTTGTTGTCGGTGGCATACACTAGCATCTCATCGAAGATCCTATAGAGGCCTGGTACATATGTGACCATGCGGGGAACGATGGCACCGGGCTCGTGAACCCAGAGCCTCCGCGTGATCTTCTGCACTGAGCCAAGGTAGTCCTCCGGGAGCAGGAGGATGCGCTCCCGTAGAGTCTTACCGCCTCCGATCGCGGTAGAGTTGAGCTCGAGGGTGGTGCGACAAGGCATGGTGTGCGCTAGGGTTTGGGAGAGGCGTGAATGGTTGTGATAATCACGTGAACTGTTCATCACTTCCCTCCTCCACTCAATTTTATCCTCGGTTTCTAGGCCTTCTTCTAGTTTATTGATAGAGCCTTTTACCTGTGTGCCATTAAAAAAGTTTATAATTACACACAAACCATTAAAAAAGTTGACCACACACAGGTGCCACTGCTCTAAACTTCTTTGCCTTACAAGTCATTCCGTCCTTGTTCTGTTTGTTTTTTGCCGTTTGGTAGCCCTTACAGGTGGGACCGGCCAGTAAAATTATCCATGTTGCCATTGGACGGTGGAGACCGTGTTGACTACGATTGACCACCACCTCAGTCCCTCACTCTCCCCATCTCGCTTGAGTCCTCTTCCCCCACACCCTAGCGGCATCAGCGGGGAGAGAAGAAGACAATCTAGCCCGGCTTGCGGCTGCGGCGCGGAGAGAAGAACCCCCCAATCCCCCGTGCTTGCAGCGTGGAATGGGGTAGTAGAGCAAGGAAGAGGAGGCCTGAAGGAAGAGATCGTGGATCCTCTGGATTGGCGGCGCATGACCGCGAATAAGGGGGCGCGCGCGGGGGACCAACCTCCTTGGCTTCCTGACGGGTGAGTATCATTTTTAGGTTTTTTCCCCGCTTCGATTGCTTGGTCCTTATGATTGTGGTTAGTTAGGTGTAGTAGTCATGGTTGATATAGTGTGGTTTTAGATAGATAGATATATGTGAACTCGCTGCTGTTCATCTGTAGGATGGACCCTACTAGGAGCTACAACCTAGAAATCTGAATAATTGCTCGCCATACTCGTGCTCGGTGGTTTAGCTTGAACAAAGTCATCGATGCTGAGCATACCAACTTCGTAGATCTAGTTGCTGAAGTTGAGAATAAGTATCCTTCTGATTATGGGGATATTGTGAGATTGTTTTACTTCTGCATTGAGAGACACATGAACATCCAAGTTTGCACCGACCAATATTTGCTTGACATGTTTACAAAACATAATGCTTCCAAGTGCTGCTTCCTGACTTTTGGTTACCACAGCCCTAGTATTGAGCCTCCTGAAATTCCTCATTGGGATTTTAGCAGTTCTTGGCAGTCTGCTGAGAACCCCTTCACTGCCTTGTCCTAGCATTGCACAACCAAGCCATATCTAGAGTGAAACTGCAGATGATGAATATCTGGCTAACCCAAACCCATCCAATAAGCATGTGGGTGTTGATGAGGAAGGGTTGTATATAGACCTTGGTCCTCAACATCCACCACCTCCAAAACCTTAGAGTCAAGGTTGTAGCAAACAAAGGGATGGTGAAGGATCTGATGCAGATACATACTGTGAAACAGACAATGATGATGAATCTGTGTCTGACGATGATGATAATTATGAAATGGAGGATGTAGATGACATTGTTAAAGATAATGAGTTTGATCATATGTTTGATGCCGAGTATGACAAAAAGGATCCTCCTATGACAGTAGGCAGTGTGTATAGAGACATGTATGCATTTAAGCTGGCTTTAGCTTCACATGTTGTCAAACATGAGTTTCATTATGACATTGAAAAGAGTGACACATGAAGGTATAGAGTTTACTGCTGTGGGAGTACTGAGGGCTGTAGGTGGATAATTCATGCCTCAACCATGAAGGATGATGAATCAATTAAGGTAATCTGTTAGTTTTGAATTTGTATGCTTTTTTTATCTGTCAGTTGTTTTCAGATATAAGTATTTCATTTTTATGCCATTTGTAGGTGAAGAGGAACCCATATCCCCATACATGTGAAAGCAAAAGGAGGTCTGACGTATGTAAAGGGGTTACATAGTTTTGGATCTGTGAACAAGTGATTGACTGGTTGAAAGAAGATGCAACTGTTGGTGCTACTAAACTCCAAAAGAGACTGAAGGATGAGTACAAAATCTTGATACCGTATAGGAGGGTGTGGAATGGTAAGAATCTTGCATTGGATAAACTGTATGGGCCCTGGAATAAAAGCTTTGATAACCTATATAGATTCAAGGCCCGGCTAGATGAAACATGTCCTGGTTCATTTGTTGTGATTGATCACCACACCATTAACAAGAAAATTAGGTTTAATAGATTTTTTAGCCCTGAAACCATGTGTTGATGGCTTCCTTAGAGGTTTAGGCCATATTTGGCAGTAGATAGCACTTTCTTGTGTGAAAAGTTCAGGGGCCAGTTGTGCATTGCTTGTGCAGTTGATGCGCACAACTAGATGTACCCAGTAGCAATATGTGTCATTGATTCTGAAATAAATGAAAACTGGGTTTGGTTTATGGAGAGGTTGAAGGAGGTAGCAGAAAGAAATCAAAGAGACATGAGTGTCCAATATGCCATGAGTTAGGGCACCACTGGTACCCCTGCAAGAATAGGAGTTCAACAGACATAGCTGCAATAGAGGCTAACATGTGAACTTCTCTCAGTTACATTTATTCATATATGATATGAATTGCATTAAATAATCTAACATAACTAAAATTTCACCTGTAGAGGTCAGCCAAAGAAGAGGCAAAAAACACTTAAAGCTAACACAGAGACAAGCATTGTTGTGGTCACAGGGATGGTGTTCCCTCCCATTGAGACAGTGGGGAATGCTATACACAAGAAAAGAAAGAGAAAATCCTCTTCTTTATCATCAGTTGTCTCCAAATCTAAGGGAGCAGCAATAAGTACTTCAGTCTCTACTACTACTCCTTTCTCTACCAGGTATGTCACTTCTCTATTTCTTTCTAATTTTTTGCAATGCCAACAACCCACATTAAACTTCATGTTTCATGTACCACAAGATCTAGAATTGGATCCAATGAACCAATTCCTATGCAAGTTGTGCACCTTGCCCCTTATAATGAAAATGCTACAGTTCAACATAAGCCACAGGAAGCTTCAACTGTTACAGTTCATACACCAAGGAGGAAGATTAGATTGAAGAAGAAGATTACACCAAGGAAAGATGTGTCTGCCACTCCAGCTAGGGGAACAAGCAGCAAGGCTCCAGCTGACCCTTCCAGCCCAGCTGAAAATACCAGAAGTAAGAAGCATCTGCTGCTGGAATAAACAAAGGTGACTCCACCATGTTGTTTTGATGATGTATTGGTGATGTACTCCTAGAGAATACCTTGGCTTTTATGGTATGAAATCATTTGGATGGTATGAAATGCTGATGTAATGGAGCTGCAATATTTTGCATGATCAGGCCATGTAGTTTATGGTCTTGCTCTGGACAAACTATTGGTGTTAGATGGAATTATGGTTTATGATTTGCATGTTGATAAACAATCTGAACCATGAGCACTACTTATGTTTGTAATGTATTAACGTTTGCATGTTGGTGAATGAACAATCTGAGAATTTTATATTTCTGGACTGCATTCATTCATCCATCATTGACTCATTTATTCATTGATTCAAGCATACAAACACAGTGACACACATAGAACCCTACTTTTTCATAATTGCATACAAGACAAGGAAGATGGCAACAAAGACAAGCTTCTCAATCCATGTGAGCTACTGCATAACCCTATCTTGCACTACTACTCCACCAGCCTGACCACCTTTCTAGATGAGAGCCATTGGAGTAGGAGTAGGGATAGCAGCTGGTGTTGGCACTGTATGTTCACTTTTCTCAGTGCTGTCTATTTATAGGAGCCACCCTAAGGAGAGTTTTTGACGCCAAAGGCCTATTAGATTAGCGCCAAAGCACCATCATATAGCCGTTTCTTTCTGAGGGCATGTTTGTCTTTTTTTTCCATCTGTTAGCCATATTTAGCGCTGTATTTGGACGGAATGACTTATAAGAAAGTCTAGAGCAGTGATATCTTTGTGCGGCTTTTTTTTAATGGCACAGGTAAAAGGCTCTTATTGATACGGCCATTGCCGACCTGCCTTGGCGTAGGCCCGCGCGCCTCCCCTTCCCGCCCTTGGCCCATACCGTCGCCAGCCTAGCGCAGCATCGCCCCCGCCACATCATCCTCACTGCACTCTCCGCGGTGCCGAGCCCTCGCGGACGCGCCGGCCCCGATCCGTAGCCGCGCCGCCTGAAGCTGCCGTGCCGCGACACCAGCCAACGCCCCGACACTGTGCCGTTCTCCCCACCACGACGCCGAGCCTCCGCCCTCGGTCCGCTGCTGCGCCGCGCACTCCTCCACAGCCTAGCCCCGGCCACGCTCCGGCTGGATCCGCCACGGCCACGCCTCAGCTTCCTCGTCGTCGAGCCATCGGGGACGACTGCTCCGCGCCACCCTCGGTCCACAGCGACCCGGAGCTCCCTCCGCGCGCGCCTCCGAGGGCTGCCAACGCCACGTCGTCGCCGGGAAGGCCGTCCTGCACCGCCCGGCGTCACCGACAACCCCGCCAGCGGCCGCGACCTGCGTCCGCATCGTTCTGGAGCCGCCGTCCTGCCCGCGAACCGCACAACAACACCGAGCAGAACTGGACGGCAGCGGCGGAGACAGTGATGCAGTGGTACTTGGTGGCCGCGCTCCTCACCGTCCTCACCAGCTCCCAGGCAATCCCCCAAACCCTACATATTTCGTCGTTTCCCCTTCCTTGTTTCTTTTTGGCTTGCTTCGATTACACCATAGCGTCTTAGATCTGTCGCCAAGCTGGGATTAGCTGTGAAATTTCGGTTGCTTCCCATTTGGTTCTTTGATGAGAATATGAGATGCACGGTGGAATAGGCGTCGTAGGTTGCTGGATCGGCAGTTTATCTTTTCGAGCGGAGTCGCCATGCCCTTTGTGAAGAGAGACGCGGTTCAGATGACTCGTGATTGTTACCCTGGATTCCAGGGCGGATTGATTGTCGTCGCGAAGCTTGGTATTGGTTATGTGGTGAGGTACAGGGGGGCATGATTTGGTGGAATTGTGGAATGGGAAATGACATGGTTGTGATGTTGTGCTGTGAAAATCTCTCTCAAGTGAGGGAACACGATCATGTGCAGGCTAAAACCTGAGGACTGTTGGCAGAATCAAGCCATAGTTAAACAGGCTTGGAAAGTTGCACATGACTTGTTTAAGTTTTTTCAGTTCCAATGTGTCTAAACGGCTTATCTATATATGCAGGGAATATTGACCACCCTTTCCCAGAGCAATGGCAAATACAAGTATGATTATGCCACAATTCCTTTTTTAGCTGAGCTCTTCAAGGTACATAATTCAAATTACATTTAATCTTTTGATAGCCTCATACCCATTTAATTACAATGATGAAAACGTGTATAGGACAGTGCAGTGATTCATCATTTTTTTGTGCTAACATTGCCCTGTTCTCGATGCAGTTATCTGTCTCAGGCTTCTTCCTCTGGAAGGAATGCCATTCTTCATCTCCACCAAGGATGACAAAGGAATGGAGGAGCGTGCAACTATATGTTGTTCCTTCAGTCATATACCTCATCCACAACAATGTCCAGTTTGCGACATTGACCTATGTTGACCCGTCTACCTATCAGATAATGGGAAACCTGAAAATTGTCACAACTGGGATTTTGTTTAGGTGTGCAACTTGTCTGCTCACTGAAATGCTCATTCTTTTATGCTTAACACCATTACATGATAGAATTCCTATTTGATTTCCTATTATGCTCTGTACCATGCCTTTAAGGAAATTCCATTTGAGAATTTTCTTTGTATTAGTGAAAAAAAGAATTTAAGTGCACAAGCGACATTGAAATACTTAGCTGATTATAATTTAAGCATTGGAGGGAGTTTGTGTTTGTTTCTACTATAACCTTAGGCAGTTACCTCACATGTACTACCATTTATCATCTGAATACATCACGTGTTTTAAGATTATGCTTGACCACAAGACATCACTTCCGCATCGCGTGCCTCGGGGAGATCGATCTCCGCCAGGGGCAGCGCCCTTGTTTAGGTGGCAGATCGTATTGATATGCCACCTTCGTTGTCGTTCTAGCATGGGCCGCAGCGCCAGATCACCTACCGCCTATCGCTGCCAGCCTATTCCTTACACTATTCATTTATTGATTTACATCTAAAAGGAAGATTCTTTTCACATGATGTTTGCACTTTTTTGGAAACTGTTGTTGAGCTTCCAGAGTTTCCTTATTTCAGTAACTTTATGTTTGTGTGTCCTGACTTATTCAGAGATTTGTTGCCAGGAAATAAGTAGTGTCAACATGATAATGAATGTGTATGCTGTGCTATCGTTGCTTGATTCTTTTTCTCATCGATTGATTAGTGTTCTTGTTTTGTTCACTGCAAATTCTACTAGGCTTGTCCTAAAAAGGAAGTTGTCCAATCTACAATGGATGGCAATTGTTTTATTGGCTGTTGGTACAACTGCAAGCCAGGTTTGTTAATATTATCAAATACTCTCTCTGTTCCTAACTATTGTTCACTTTGGCTTCTCCTAAGTCAAACTTTTCTATCTTTGACCTGGTTTTTGGAAAAATATATTAACATCTAAAAGTTCAAATAAATGCACTTCAAAATAATATTCATGTAGAATGTAATGAAACTAACTGGATGTTATAGATGTTATAAAGTTTGACTTAGGACAAAGCCATAAACTATAATTTGGAATGGAGGGATTCTATATCTTATTTCTCAATGATATGGTTTTTATTACCTAAAATGTATTTAAAGTTGATATTACTTCTTAGGTTATGTTTTAATGGATGGTCAGCAAGAATTGTAAGCATGTAATTAGGAACACCATTTGTTTTTGTGGGTCTGAGGCGTTTGACCTACTCACAACATATATGCTTCAAAGTTTTCTTTATAACAATTTGCACTTATACATTAATGTATAATTTCATTGGTAGATATGGTGATCTATTTTCAGATTCACACTAAAATCACAAGTATCACATAATTACTGAATGTTTTGGGAAGTTTGTTAAGCTACCTGTTTAGTTGACCGGCGGTATTCTTTATATATAGTTAAACTACTCCATTTCAAAATATGACCATGTTAGGATTTGGAAAAGTCAGACTTTGTAATTTTTTATCAGGAATTATTTAAACTACATGCGCACTTAGTAGATAAAAGTCGTGCAGATAGATTCACATTGCACATATTTTAATATGAATTGATTTGTAACCACTGATGATATATTGTTGTCATAGTATATTTGTAAGGACTTTTCTGGATCCTAATACACTTTTTGAAAAGAAACGAAGGGAATAGCCTATCGATGCAAATTTATTTCTGTTTGCAACATTTGATATTTTCATTCAAATAAAACACTGTAGGGATTAACTTATAATATTTATATTGGTTGTAGCTGCGATTTGTGTTTAGTAACTAGATTTCGACTGAGATTAAACGTATTGTCTCTTACAGGTGAAAGGATGTGGAGATGCACCATGTGATTCTCTTTTCTCAGCACCATTGCAGGGTTACATGCTTGGAATACTTTCTGCTTGTCTTTCAGCTCTAGCTGGTGTGTACACAGAATACTTGATGAAGAAGAATAATGATAGTTTGTACTGGCAAAATGCACAATTATATACGTAGGTTATCTAACACTGGTTCGTTGTCAGTAATTTCTCATGCCCAGAAACCATGCGTGCAGCTGTGCATACATCTTGATTATCAGTAATATGCTTGAGCAAGCATGACAAACTCTTTGATGCTCATCTTATGTGCAGGTTTGGAGTTATGTTTAACATGGGCTGGCTAATTTATGGTGATTTTAAAGCTGGATTTGAGCTGGGTCCATGGTGGCAGCGCCTTTTTAATGGTTATTCAATCACAACATGGATGGTAGTGTTCAATTTAGGATCTACTGGTCTTCTAGTATCATGGTTGATGAAATATTCTGACAATATAGTCAAGGTTAGATCACTCAGGTTCTCTGCCATTGAGGTGGAATAAATAATACTTGTTTTAAAAGTTTTGGTGTGTATATAACCACTTCAAAGCATAGATCAGTTATTACAGAAACAACAGTCGGATAATAGGTAGCAGAATATATGAAACCTCAGTTTAGTTTCCAAAACAAATTACAATGTATTTTTAATTGCTTCCTGCTGCAGCTTATTGCAGCACAACCACCACAAACTGACCCTCAGTCTTATCTCTTTATATGCCCAGCTAAAAACTTTGACCATTATGTCTGTTCCTAATGCCTGTAAAGTGAAGCTATATATTTTTTTCTTATGTCAAGTTCGTGTGTTGGTACTTGTTTAACAATGGTTTATGTGACTGTTCTGGCCTTTTTATTGCATGCTTAGGATGTGCTATACATCTACTCTTAGGTAGCGTTTGGTTGGGAGGCAAGGTGGGGTGGGATGGTCCCAACCCTGGTTCGTGGGATGGGATGACTTCATTTTCTGTTTGGTTGACGAGAGATGGGGCCAATCCATTTTTTGTTTGGTGTGGAGACCTCAAAAGTGGGATCTGTCACTGACAAATGGGACCCATTTGTAATTTTTCCTTTTTTTTTCTTTTTTCTTCCTCTCTCTCCCCTTATCCTCCCGTCCCAACAGCCGCTCGCACCAAGCCGCAACCCACCTCCACCGCGAGCTGCGCCGACGACGCGAGCTCGGCCGCGCGCCTGGCCGCGAGCCGCCCGGCGCCTCCTCCTCCGCGGCGGCAGGGCCAGCCCCAGAACTCGCGCGCCTGCCGGGGGCGGAGCTCGCCGGGGCCGAGCACGATGGCGCCAGGGGCGGAGCTCGCCGGGGTCGGGCACGCCAGCACCAGGGGCGGAGCTCTGCTCCCATGGCCGCGCGCGGTGCCTGTGGATCTCTGTCTTGCCGGATCTCCACCTCCGAAGCTCGCCGGACCTCCACCCTGCTGTCCTCCACCGCGCCCGACCATGGCCTTCTCTCTTCTCTTCTCCGCGTCGCTCTTCTTCCCGACAGCGCGCGCTCGCGGCTCGTCCCACCTGGGGCCGACCCCGTCCATGAAATTTTGGGGGACGGGGTCGCCCCGCATCTCACGCGAATATTCGCGTGGAGGACGTCCCGGCTCCACTTCGCCTCCGAACCAAACAGAGTTGATCCCGGGACCATCCCACCTAGTCCTCCCAACCAAACACACGGTTAAGAAACATGCAAAGTGAACTATGTACATCCTGTGTCTGACAACAGGATTTATGAAGCAGTGCATAGTGCGTGACACAAGAATTTTGCTCTATTGAAAATTTGAAATTTCTCATCTGAAAATTCTTATGTGTTGGTTTGGTACATTTATGTTGTCAAAGCTTGTCCCTGAACTCACTTGACCTTTTTAATCGGATGCTCATTGAATGTTGTTTTGTGTTCTATTTAATTTTATACCTCATTTTTCTTTATTGAAAACGTGTGTCATGGAGCTCTGTTTTAATAGGTGTACTCAACTTCAATGGCAATGCTTTTGACCATGGTTTTATCTATATATCTTTTCAGTGTGAAAGCTACAATTCAGGTGCTATACTTTGGCTGTATTGTTTTTTTTTTTAAACTCTTTGGCTGTATTGTTAGTCCTGTTGCATTGGGGTTCTTGTAGTTCTTTATTTGTACTCACATGCTTTAACCCTCTTTTTGCAGCTCTTCTTGGGCATTATCATTTGTATAATTTCCCTGCAGATGTATTTTATGCCTGTGCACATGCTTGTTGAATTGCCACAAACTTTGCCTGTAACATCAAAGTAGGTTCATGGCATTGATCAGGAGGGGGTAGGGCACTGTTGATTGAAGGGTTAATTGACTATCTGCAGCTCAGCTCTGTTTGAGTCATCTGTTTGGAAATTTATGGTTGTAATCTAAACAGCTGTGGAGCTAGGTTAGTTTCATTTTGCAGAAAAGGTGAATCAACTGTCAAGTGAGCATGTAATGCCAATACCAATGGATTGAAAGTTAACACGTACAAGCTTTCCAATTTCTATCCAGGTAAAAGATGGAGACTGATTGATCTTGTTGTCTAGGGAAAGGAAATTCATGCAAATGCAAATTTTCTTCAAATAGAGCAAAACTACTCATTCACCTTGTATCCACAATTTTGCATTAATGGAATTGATACAGAACTGACGAGTGGAATGAATGAGTTATGGCTTCATTACAAAAAGGTACAATATTTTGCTCCCTGCGGCAGCAGTCTTATTTTTTCTTATATTTTATCATGTAGTTATCTTTTCGGGAGATTCAAACTGGACTAAGTGCTCAATGAGCAACAGTCATACTTATTTTTTGTCGTCATCAGTTAGAAATGGCTTTCCATTCTAGCATCTGTTATTTCTTTAGTTAAAAGAAAGCACAACACTGTTACTGTGATTAATTTCACGAAAACCAAAGCATTGTTAAATTACGTATGTACCTAAGAAACACATTGTACATAACATGTTATGCATTGTAATTTATGAGATATATTCCATGACATGCGAATAAAGCCCCCATCAGGGATTATGGAAGTCTTTGCAAAATGTATACATAAATAAATAATCAAATATGCATATTGGATAATGATTTTATTGCATTTGTTGAGCCCCAATCTTGCAAAGAAGTGATTGCCATGACGCTTGTTGCAGTGTATCAGGCAACTGTATGTGAGCGCGCAGCCATTTGGCCATGTGAGTATTCGCTAGCTAGGATTTGTCAATCGACGACTTGCCCAAGGCCCGAACCCAGCTACACAAATATCAGATTGAGTTTTTCTTACACTTAGCTTATCAAGGATATATGATTGTAATCTCATGTGACAAAAGGAAGACAAAGTTGTCAAGTTGAAGTCTTTCCAGGTTGGACATTTAGTGAACCTTTCCCATGCCTTCTGTGAAAAAGCTTATGAACATTAGAGACAAATCTCTTGAGAACATTAACACCGGACATAATGATAATTAATATAGTTGGTCAGTGCTTAATTGAGGAGCACCTTTTCTTCTTGAGCACAATTCTATGTCTTCTGTATCACTAGCAGGACGAGTTAATTAGATTCGACCACGCGGTGAATCTGTCCACTGGGTAGAGCATTCTTGAATCGACATCAATTGTCAGTTTCTCTAGTAATTTCTTGATGCATATTCTGTTATAAAGTTTGCATATTCTCCTTTGAATTAGAGTTTCCATTTTGAGTTTGATGGGAAAAAAGGGGCAGACAAGACAACTTGTAAAGTTAGCATTTTCCTTAGATATATATTCCTGCTCTGATAGTTTTCTTTCAAGCAAAAAAGCGCTTCATCTAGATTCTAGAGTGTGCCTGTGGAGATATTTCTTCTTTTCATTCCGGAACCGGCATAAGCATCAGCATAAGCCAAATTTTAGCGAAACGAACATGGCCAAGCTTGAAAGGCATCCGTTTGGTGCCAAATATCCGTACGTGTAGAAACATCAGATGAAGACAGCAACGTACTGATATGCTGCACGAAGGAAACGGGCGACTGATCGATAAGTTGAACTGAATCTGGTAGCAACAAACTCTTGTTCGGACGGTGGTTCCCCTCTTCACCGGTCTCTTCGCCATGTACGTACGTACATTGTTACCCTTTTGTGAACGGCACCATGTGAAAAGGATGATTGTTTTCGATGTGCAATGTGAGCTTCCCCCTTGAAGATATGATGTGTCCTTTTTAATTGCTTTGGATTGGCGAGATGTCCATTTCGGCTAAACATCAGCCGAAAGGAGGTTTGCCGTTTGGAACTTTGGATGCCCCTGGTTTGGCGTCGCCAGCGCCTTGCCCGCAGATACCTGAGCGCTACCACAGCACGTCACATCCTTTGTGGAACAGAAACGCTTGCAACGCAAGCCATTGTGCGATGCCCGCCCAACTCATGCAGCCTCATCCTAGGTAACCACATCCCCAAAATACTCTACTTGAAATCTTTTTTTATATCCCTTTTTCTTCACATGAATATAAAAGACACCCACAGATTTTATTTCCTTTTTTTTTCTTTTCCCTGAAGAATGCGTGCCAACAAGGAGGGCTGGATCTGTAAACTTTCACTAACCCCATATAGTAAGGCCGCCCATTACGTGAGTAAATAATCAACATGCTCTCGGTGATGAAAGCAAACCGCCTCTCACACCTACACAACTCTCCTATAAAGGCACCTCTACGCGCCAGGCCGTTCGAGCAGCATCACTCAAAGCCAGCCAATCAGAAGCAGCTGCAGCCTCGCGCAGGGTGCTCAGAGCAGCAGCTTCCCTAACAACACATGGGATCCTTGGGCCCCACCGTGAGCTTGAGCATCATGGCCAAGCCCAGCGGCCAGCAGCCGGAGATGGAGAGGAAGGACGGCGGTGTCTTTGGTGGCGGCTGCTGCGTCTTCCGGATGCCGCTGCACTACCCGCGCTACAAGAAGGCGGACTACGAGAGCATGCCGGAGTGGCGCGTCGACTGCCTGCTCCGCGAGTACGGCCTCCCCGCCGACGGCGACCTCGACAGCAAGCGCCGCTTCGCCATGGGCGCCTTCCTCTGGCCCGACCAGTACTGATCCAACCAAACAAGCTCCGCGCTTGCTGCGTGCCGGCCGTGATCTCGTCATATTCAGAGGATAAGTTGCATGCATCAGTTATAGCGAGACGAGACATAATCATCTCGATCGTATACTCTCACTGTTTACATGTTACTATCAGCTTTTTGTAGTTGTAACGGCTGGACATGATACTTTTAGTATAGCTGAGCTGGATCGCGCGCTGTATATATAGTCGTATAGCTATGTTGTCAGAGCTGAGGTGTTCTGTCATCTCATCTGTGCACGCTTTGATGTTCACAAACTCTCAGTTGTGTTGCAGGCATGAAGAAATGTCTCTCTGCTTGTGTCTCTGTAGTCTCAACTCTCAACTGGAAAACTCTGCAGATATGTTTCAGAAACTGGATCGTGATAAAGAAACAGGCAAGGTTCCAACTTCCATGGCCCGGACTGTGAGCCTATTCTTTCAGGAACCTGCGATCCACATCCATGAATTCAGAACGTAGCGGGGTTTCGGAAAGATTCAGGCGGAGCCATGGCGATAACCCGGGCATGCAAAGCTGGGTTAAAACCGGCCATGGTTTTTGCAGATCAACTAACGCCTCTCGATCGTCCGGCAGCACCCACAGACTCGTCGTGCTCACGAAGATAGCCTGCTATCCCGTGCCGAAGTCTCTAGCATCATAACAAGTGTTGTGAGTTGTGACGCAAATCCATGCATCTAGCTAGTGGATGCCCCCTCATCTAGTAACTGAAACGGCTGTAGGATGATTTGCGGTTGCTATAGTTAGTTTGATTTCTTGGCTGATATCTGCTAGCGGACAGTCAGGATACAGAGAAGACACAAGTGAACGCGTCCCGGCTTATCAGCCATGGTATAGTGTTTTTATCTCACAACAAAACAGCATCAACCGACTTATCAGACGCAAAAACCATCAGCCGAACAGCTCCACACTGCCAAACGTTTATCCTCGGCTCACATCTTCTTGATGACTTATTCTTCCTGAATAGCAGCTTCTGCGAGTCTGCTCTGTACTGCAGACTGCAGTGCACACCGTTTCACTGCAGTTCTGCAAAGCATGCACAGAGCTGTAGACTACTGGTACAGACTACTTTGTACAGGAACACTGGCGGCAGAAGAGTTTTGACCGGCTTCGTCTCAGTATTTCACAGACCGCTCTTGTCAAGAGTGAACTATACGAACGGGGACGGCGGGTATGGACTCCCACCACTCCCTCCACCGCCGGCCACCCTGTGGGTTCAACATGGCCCTCGCGACCCTCGTGTTCGCCGCGAAGCTGCCCGCCATCAGCCCGATCAGAATGTACTTGAACGGGATCACGGCCACCACCACCGCAGCCCCGGTCAGCATCCAAATCATCGTCTCTGTGTGCTGCAAATGCAAAGCGCAAACAGAACAACGTCCAAATGTTACTTACAAGCTCCACAGTAGGCGTTGAACGCAATAACCAGAATGACTGAAGGATCAAACAACCACAACTGTTGTCTGTCAACTACAGGGGTACTACCTTTGGCGACCTTGCTAGCGCTATCGACCACAACCTGAGGATGGCAACGTTTGCTGTCTTGATGTACTTGTGCACTTTTTGTAGGCTTTGCTGTGCCTCCACTATGCTCTCCATTGTTGTCTTGTCCGAGGAAGAAGTATCGATGATCACTTCCGAGCATATCATGCCTATCTTTCTTTGCCTTGCCCAAACCATCAGGCCAGCTGCCAGTATCAGGGATGCAGCTAACACATAACTGAACCATTCACTGCACATGAGGGAGGGAAAAGATGCACATTACGTGTCCTGTTCCATTTTCTGATTCTAATTTATTCAGATACATGGCCAAGATGATCAGCTTCAGTGATGTGTGTAGGCTTACTTGTATATGGTTAGCAGAGCTACAGCAAGGATAGTGCCAGTAACAAGCGGCCGCTCCCACGAGGTTATCTGCTGGATCACTGGGCGCAGTTTGCCGATGGGACCGACCAACCCCTGCATAGAAGGGACAGGATGGTGGTTTAATTTAAGACAGCACAAGAAGAACAACGAAGATACCAAGCAAAAAAAAAGTTCAGGAACTGATCGTACCACCAGTACAAGAAGACTATCGGAGATGCCTTCATCCTTCATCCCTTCAATGGCAGCATTGGCAGCAGTGACTTCCCTGGCTTCATCTTTCACTTGACCTATCTTGTTTTCCAGGGATGCCAGGGGCTGCTCGTGGCTACTCGAGTCTGCGTCATGGTCTTTGGCTAGCTCCGCACTCAAAGGCGTGACATAAGATTTGCTTAAACCCTTGAATACATAGGATGCACTCAATCGGGTAATAGTGGAGGTCTGTTTCAGATTGCTTGCTAGTTGCTCAAGCACAAAATCACCTTTAGGCATGTCATCATACAGTGAGAACACTAAAAAGCTAGAAGCGGGCGGTGGTGACATCCGTAGCATCTCTCTTGCGGCGTGGAGCCTTATTACTCCCAATATGATTCTAGAGTGTACCTCCCATTTGTGAATGGGGGATACTACGTTGTACATTGATATAAAACGGTGGATAAAGAGTACTTCTCTGATCAGAGTAAGCCACATATCGCGCCTTGTTGAGCTAGTCATCTCGGGGAACTCCAAAACCAGAGGTTCTGATCTGCACAGATGAATGGTTCAGATCTAATTGATCATTTAGCCTAAGCTCTTCGTATGAACACCGAAAGGTTCTATATATTTAAGATGGAACTCACAGTGACTCAAACACAATGGCTTTGTCAAACAAAGGCACACCAAAAGGGCCTGTTGAAGCAGTGCTAATTTGGTGTTCTATTCCAGTGTCTGAAAGATCAACCTTTATAGCAGTTTCGTATGAAATTTTTCCGAAAGCCTCAAAATATAGTGCCTTGTTTGTCAGAGTCAGTCGGCCTAGAAAACCAAAAACACCAAACATTGACTAAGGTTATATTTTATTTACTAATGAAGGAAAATTGGTAATTCAGATTACTAGAATATGAGAAATGGAAGCAACCAGAAACAAAGTGATCATATTGATTACCTGGCCAACTAGTGGTTCCAATGTGCCTGACTACCCTTTGTGTTCCTGCTGTGCCCTCCATGTGCAAAATGAATTCATCTTCAGCGAATTCAACTCCAGTTGGAGTTGGCAAATCTTGAAAGAACTTGAAGGACCTAAAAGATATTAGAGTATGTAATTCTTAATACATTTGACAGTTATGTCGACAAATGAGGAACATTTGGCAGCATACTTATCCATTTCTTTCAGGAATCTGTCATAAGCAGGATAATGCAGCCTGTTAGCTGTGGTAGCAGTGAGAGCTTCAAATGTGAATCGAGCATTGACGACGTCACAAGCCAAAGGGAATACAGATCCAAACCACACGTACGCTTCTTCCCCAACAGTTGGCTCTTCATTCACCTGGGTAACCAATTGATGTCTGCTTAGAGCAAATTGAACATAATACACTGGTAATCAGTAATTTCTTTGACATGCTTACAAGAAGAGGCATGATATCTGAATAGAACAGTGACGTCTCATCACCCATCACATCTTCATTTTCTCCAAGTGGCTCCTTCCTATCTTCCCTTTCTTTCGCTATGCTCTCCTGTAAAATTTAGCACGTGTCATTCAGTTCAGGAATCAATCATTTCTCATGTGTGACATACATATGCTTAATCACCAACCATGGTGACCTGTTGATCCGATGGAGTAGGGGTTTCCCAAGCTAGCATCATATCGAAGGTGAACCGACTTAGCGAACCATCACTTATCTTCTCCCCAATATCATGTGATGCGATAATTTGCAGGGCCTGAAAACTGCAAAACTCAACTAGTTTTCTTGAATAGTTGCCAACTGCTGCAGTCTTTAAGCCCAACTCGAAATCTGCCACCAAATCATTGACACTCCTATCCAATGTCCTGTGTGGCATTGACATATTAGTTGGCCAAATTTCGAAGTAAATTAAAGAGCATTTTAAGTTTTCTTTCCTTAAGAAAAGAATACGTATATTACTCCATGCTAATATATAGCCAAAAGGATGTATGGAGAGAGACAAAAACCCAGATAAAACATGTCAATAAATTATACAGTTCAGTATGCTATACGAGAAGAGATTTTGCTTGCTTCAAAATAATACCGCCCCTTCTAAACTGATGGAAATGAGAATTGGATTAGAAGTTTTTGAATTAAGCGTTATTAAGTTGTCAATACAAGATGTGTATATTCATGGGTCCCTGAATTCATTCATGCCTGTCTCCACAAATAATACTGCATCCGAACTAAACCTGCAACAAACAAGTATGGGTACACATCATAAAGCATGGAAGTTCAGATCAAGTGTCTAAGCATATTCCAAACTAAACCTGCAACAACTAGATTTGAGCACAACTGGAAAAAGATTAAAAGTTCTGTACTTATGATTGACGTTGGTCCGATATAACAGCAAACGAATAAGATCGAGAAGACGAACAGCGCACGCACAGTGAACATTGCCGGAGCACGTGGTTGGCGATGGAGGAGAGGTGCTTCCGCCCGCCCCCGCCCGGCGGCCTGCTTCCCGTGCCGGGTCCCGCCACCGGCGCGGCCGTCATCAACTCCCGCTGGCTCTCGACACCCATGTCGTCCATGGCTGGGGCGCGGGTGCGCACTGGATGCGTCGTCCTTCTGCGCGGAAGCGCGGTCCATCGGGATGTGCGCGTGCGCCTATTTGTTGGTGCGTGGCTGGGCATGCTGCGTGCATGAGCACATGCAGCTCGCCACCTCGCCCCGTGCTCCGCTGCACGCGTCCGGCGTCCCCTGCGCCCGCCTGCCACGTCCTCCCTTCCACCACTCGGCGGCACTCGGCTCCTCATGGCATGGGAGTGATTGGAGCGGCGGCGGAGGCGGGTCACCCTCCCGGCCCGAGCCCAAAAGCTGTGCGGGCCCTGTCCCGTGTGTATCCGTTTGGGCCGTGATGGGTTGAGTGATCTGGGCTCCCGGGCCGATTGTCACCGCCATCTGGGATGAGCTCAGGGCGATCCGTTGTCAAGGTCTCCTTCGCCGCCGACCCGCCCGGTGCCCGCGCTCTCTCACTGGTGCATCCACTACACCGAGCTGGAGAAGCCGCGCATTATTGCCCACGCGGTGGCCGGTGGACGACCCCGCCCTCATCACCGTCGTCGCCTTCGGTTGGGGGCCTCACCTCCACAGCCGAGTACTTCAACAAGCCACGAAAAGACGCATTCAAACGCAGATGAACTCCGGATACGGTGGACATGGAAGAGGATGTAAATGGAGCAGGACGCTCACTTCCAGCTGTTGGCGAAGGAATGCCTAATGCTGAAACTACCGCATGGCTAGCATCCGGACGTCCGACCCCAGTCCCGGCCGCATCTGGACGCAGCTCCAATGTCTTCAACCGCTTCGCATCGGATGCCCCCCACGCTCGCATCAAATCCCGCGCCAGCGAATCGCATCTGGCCGTCCGCGACCGATCCCCATCCCGGTTGCGCCCCCGGCGTCAAGTCCGCCGCGCTCCTTCCCCCGCCGCGCAGCGCTCCTCCCCTTGCCGTGGCACCATCCCCGCCGCGCCTCCGTCCTCCGCCGCGCCCCTTCCCCTATCCTAACGTCTCATCTCCTCTACAACATCCGTCCGACCGTTCCAACATATACAGTATGCTATTGAAACATACATGTATAGTCATTGCAACATCTAAATGAAACATATGAAACATGCGTCTGAAACAACTGAAATATTTGGAACATACATTTGCAACATACGTCTAAAACAGATGAAACATATGAAACATACACTCAAAACATACGTGTGTCGACATTGCAACATATGCAATATCAGATCCTTTTGCAACATCAAGATGAACACACATGAAACATACAGATAAAATGCATGAAACATACAGATGAAACAACTGCAACACTTGAAATATATACTTGTAACATACATATATAGACATTGCAACATACGCAACATACAGATGAAACACTTGGAAACAACTTATGAAACAAAACATGGCATCGCCAGCAACCATGGCCTACCTGGTGGGGAACTGTGGTAACCAGCAAGCGACACTCGGGTGCGGCGGAGAGGGATGATGGCAGCAAGCAAGTGGCTAGGTGTGGTGAAGAACGCCGTGCCGGAGCAGTCGCCGTGGACCACGCCGCGTTAGCTCGAAGAAAGTGAGAGCGATGATTTTTTATTTTTATTTTTGTGCGGATAGCAATGTTGCCTGTTGGACCGTTTAGGCGTCGAGGCCCACCAACACGTATCCGGACGAAACGAACGCCCTACCCACGGCATTATAGATACTAATACTACGGGTAGTTGTTTAGCATTTGCTGCCGAAACAGGAAAGTCGGATTGCAGGCGGGGCGGGTTGCGGACGGCCACTTACCCACTAAGCTTGCCGCAAACTAATGAAGCGGATTTGTGGCTGCCCACGAGCGCAACTGTGACCCTCCGCCATGATCCACCGGACTCTGTGGCTAATACAACAAACCCGCAAGGCCCGCAAGGCACACTGGCTAGATTTGTTGCTGCTACGAGCTCATCTGCAGCATCGTAAGGACTCGCACGGACATGGCAGCGAAGGAGCTAACTAACTCGCCAGCAGCCGCACCTCCGCCTGTGGAGTTCAGATCCTCTGATCTAGTAGCTGCTATTGCTAATTGCTATCGCTGGACAGGAAGACCTCAGCGGCGGTCAGCCCTGCAACCATGTGCTCGTGGACGCCATCGCCATGCGTGGACGGCGAGGTCGGCCGTGGCACCCGGGGCCCTGCAGCACCCAGCACTCTACTGAGTTGCCACCAGAGAAGATGAGCTCCTCGTCCTCTTCCGCGCCCACCACCCCGAGCTCCCAGCCAATGGGACCGCCAGCATATCGCCTGACGCGCGGGCCAGCTCCAGAACGAGATCAAGGAGTGGTTGTCGCGCTGGATACTGGATATTCGACAGTGTCACGGCGCGGGTTCTTGCGGGACGTTGCGGGCTTGCCCTCTTGTCCAATGGGCTTCGCGGAACAGCACACATCATGCCGCGAAAATATTGCAGCTGGTCCACATCTGCCGCAAAGCATGATTTTACGGGGCGGACATGCGGGTTCCCATAAAAACCCGCCCCGCCTGCAAGCCGACAGGAAAGTGATATTCTCCGTACTGCTATACTATATGGTGGCCTGGCCTGATCCGAGCCAGCGTAGTAATACACATGACGACCTATCAAAATAGTTAGCTGCATACCACCTCTACATTATATGATAATGACACCAAGATCGAAACAACAGTACAGCTACATTTGCCCACTACAATCGGGACCCAGGAAATGTGCAGCGCCATACCTTGAAATCCAAACCGGTGGACAGTGGACTGATGGTTTCAGCTCTCATCGCTATCTAGATTACTGAACTTCCAATCAGAGGACAGCGTACAAAGAACAGCTAATGCAGCGCATAAACTCCAGAGATGGTGTACTTGACATGATTAAGCCAATACTTTTCTCTGATGTGCTCCTTCCGTCACAAAATTGAATCAACTTCTAGAGCTGTCATAAGTCAAACTATTTTAAGTTTGATCAAAATTACAAAAAAGAACACCAATATTTATGACACCTAATTAGTATCACTACATACATCATGAAATATATTTTCATAATGTACTTATTTGGTGTCATAGATACTGTTATCATTTCCTATAAAGTTGGTCAAACTTAAGATAGTTTAACTTAGGGTGATTCTATGAATTGATTTATTTTGGAACGGAGGGAATATTTGTGTTCTCAATCGTGATCGAGACCAGTATTGCACAGATGATCATGCATGCCTCGTGCATTACCTCCAATGAAATTGTACAGTACAGTATACACAGTATGAAGCTACACGAACAAACTGTAGATCATCTCATAGCTCCAATCAGATTTGCACCTCCAAGCTTAGCGCCAGTCAATTGCTGTTGATCAAAGTAAACGCAGTTAAAATTCATCTTTTGACATCTATATGTTGGTATCATGAGATGTGTACAAACTACTTGCACAGAACGTGAGGTAGACTGTAAACAGAAGGACCCAAGATCCTTAGTAAATGGGACAAGACGCAAGAACATACAGTGTCACGCAAATCAACTTCTCGCAAGTAAGCTCTCTGAAGATTTGCGTCTTTCAAGTTTGTACCAGACAACTTAGCACCCTGAAAATAAAAATAAGCTTCAGCACATGCTCACAAAGTAGGTTTCACTAAGAAAAGTAATGAGGATTAGTACAGCTGCAAATAAGGACTGGTGTCAATGCTCAGGACTGCATGTTTCAGTAACAAAAAATGGCTTCCATGGCACATCATATTGAATGGTTATAGACAGTACCAAGAAGTGCATTCAAAGTGTCACTTATGTAAATTGTTGCATGCTTATCTGTTGATATGACTAGTGTGCATATTCCCCTTGCTGCCCCATATTAATTAAGGAACTCACAAAAATGATCGAAGTCTAAGAACCGATTAACGCTTTACCCAAAAAAAAAACCCAACTCATCGATCCTATGCCAGTAAAAAGGTAAGATGGGAGTAATCACATAGATGTGTGTAATAAAAATAACGATTTTGCTAAAAGGATGTTTGCTCCTTTGTCAGATAATGTAAAGGAAGCAAACAATAGTTTTGAACTGCATGGATATTTTTTACCACGCTAAGAGTATGAACATGATAGGTTAAAGCCGTCATCATGATGGTTAGAGATTATACTGTCACAAACTTGCTTCAGTTCTAACAGGCAAAAAAAAAATCAACATTCCTAGGAAATTGTCACATGAAGTTTCACTTTACCTTGAGATTGGCTGCTTCAAGGTTAGCTCCTCTTAAGTTGGCTTGTGTAAGATTAGCAGTCTGAAAATCCAATTGAATGGGCAATAAGATGCACAGGTAATCAGATTTCAATATTTATGGTTTACGGCCTACTAAAAGCCAGTTGATATGAATCTTTTATTTGCACCAATCTAGGTAAATAATACAGCATTATCCCTATGAAGGAAAACAAACAGGCATGTCTCCTGAGTGCGCTTCAGCAAACACTGGATTCTGCTGCCACGTTTTGGATGCTGATATATAAACATAGTATCAATGCACTAACATCCAACAACAGAGCAAAAATAAAATACACTATGATTTACAGTATAGTCTATGTGAACAGGAACACAATATGCTGAGTAGCATGAACAATGGTTTGCATACCTGTAAATGGGCAGAATGAAGATCCGTTTCAATGAAGCTACATCGTGTTAAGCATGCATCTGCAAAATAAACAGAGCATATGTTTTTCTTTTTATCATCACTTGCTACTAAAACTTAGAACCAATATCACTTATAGGCCTATAGCAACTGAATGATGGTCCTTGCAAAAATACGGAAGAATCAAAATTCATACATAGTGCTTGAGACATAGTACAATTGACAAAGATATCCAACAACAGTACAGTTGTCAAGAACCAAGAAATGAAGGAACATGATTAATGTGAGCATTGCTACCTTGCAAGTTGGCACTTCGAAGGTTTGCTCCATCCAGAATAGATTCTTGAAGATTCGCTCCAATAAACTCACACCTGTTATTCCGAAGCGGTGAACATGAATGCTAAATTCTAGAGAGAG